TTTTTTTTTTTTTTTTTTTAGGAGAGACAATGTCAAACTCTTGCTCAGGCTGGTCTTGAACTCCTGACCTCAAGCAATCCACCTGCCTTGGCCTCCCAGAGTGTTAGGATTATAGGCGTGAGCCACCACACCTGGCTTGTCTTTCTCTCCCTCTGTCTCTTTTCATCTTTCTCCCTACCCCCAGCATCTTTCTCCCTTTCTTTCTCTCACATTCCCCTCTCTTTCTCTGCATTTTTACTCTTTCCGTTCCTTCCTGAATCTGTTCTCTTGCCCTTTGCCTCTCTCTGGACTCAGGCTCCCCACCTGTTGAACAGGTGTCCTATCCTAATGCTACCTCCTTCCAAGGTGGTTGGGACAACCTGTGAAGTGACACACACACAGAGAAGCGAATTGAGAACCTAATGGAGGCCTTCCTCACCCTTAGCTCCTGCTGAAACGCACTCAACACACACATTCTCTCTGTCTCTAACACACATACACTCAACACACTCTCTTAGACCCTGCCTCTTCAGTGGAGAGCAGCTCTGACACAGAACCACCAGGGGGCGATGTCTCCCTAGGAATCCCCAGAGCTTAGGGCAAATTGCACCCTTCTCCGACCTTATTGCAGAATCAAACCTAGGGCTGTTAGGATCCAGTCCTGTTGTTTCCTAGCTGGGAAATGCCATTCTTGGGCAAATGCCTCACCCTCTAAACCTCAATATACTCCTCTTCTTAATTAGAAACAATAATAATATCAACCTGGAATTGTAATGTAATGCTCTTAAAATACCAGCTCAGCCCCATATTGACAGTAATACCAGTTATCAACACTCGAGGACTTGCTCTGTTTTAGGTATTATTCTGAATGCTTCATGTATCTTATTTAATCTTCAAAGCAACCTATACCATTATCCATTATCATAGCCATTGTACAGATAAAGTAACAGAGTTTGAAAGGTTAGAAAGACTTGCCAAAGTCACCCAGCCTGAAAGTAGTAGAAATAGGATTTAAACCAAGAGCTTGTGCTTTTTAACCACTACCACCTGCCTTTCTCTTTTTATTTTATTTTATTTTTTTTGAGACAGAGCCTCAAGCTGTCCCCTGGGTAGAGTGCCATGGCATCACAGCTCGCAGCAACCTCCAACTCCTGGGCTCAAGCGATTCTCCTGCCTCAGCCTCCCAAGTAGCTGGGACTACAAGTGCCCACCACAACACCCGGCTATTTTTTGGTTGCAGCCGTCATTGTTGTTTGGTGGGCCCGGGCTAGATTCGAACCCGCCACCTTAGGTGTATGTGGCTGGCGCCTTAGCCACTTGAGCCACAGGTGCCGAGCCACTCTCTTTTTATTTTAATTAATTTTTTTTTTTGAGACAAGAGTCTCACTTTCTCAACTTTGATAGAGTACTGTGGCATCACAGCTCACAGCAACCTCAAACTCTTGGGTTTAAGTGATTCTCTTGTCTCAGCCTCCCAAGTAGCTAGGACTACAGGTGCCTGGCACAATGCTTGGCTATTTTTAGAGATGAGGGGGTGGGTCTCACTCTGGCTCAGGCTAGTCTCAAACTTGTAGCTCAGGCAATCCACCTGCTTTGGCCTCCCAGAGTACTAGGATTACAAGTGTGAGCCACTGCACCTGGCCCCTTTCTCTTATTTTAACAGCAGTAACATGACCCTATCTTTTCCTGGAGTCCCTCTCATGTTGCCAGCTCAGACCCCCATTAACCAGAGTCTCTAGCAAAGAAGGTCTCACCCTCTCTCCCTATACTTCACCTTTGGGAACACGGAAGCTCCAATCTCTGCTGAAGGGGCTGCCATTCTCCCTGAACCTGGGACCCTTCTTGAATATCCCTCACCTGCCTACCCTTGACTTTACCTCCAAAAGTCCATAGCCACAAAAAAGCCTGACTCTCAGATACTCAGAAAAGGTGAGTTAGAACAGCCACAGCTGAATCACAGCATGTCAACCCCCAAAGTTTCAAAAGAAAATGTAGGCTCAGTGCCGGTAGCACAGTGGTTACGGTGCTAGCCACATACACCAAAGGTGGTGGGTTCAAACCTGGCCCGGACCAGCTAAACAACTGCAACAACAACAAAAAAATAGCCTGGTGTTGTGGTGGGCAGCCTGTAGTCCCAGCTACTTGGGAGGCTGAGGCAAGAGAATCACTTAAGCCTAAGAGTTTGAGGTTGCTGTGAGCTGTGATGCCACTCACAGCACTCTACTGAGGGTGACATAGTGAGACTGTCTCAAAAAAAGAAAGAAAGAAAGTACAGTAAAGCCTCTGTAAGTTGACCACCCAAGGGACTGTAACAAACTGCTCAACAAATGGAAGTGGTCAAGGAACTAGGCCTACTGGGTTAATATGTATATGTGGTACAGGTCTGGTCTATGAAAATTAGGTCAACTTAAAAAGGTGGTCAACTATGGAGAGTCTACTATATAAAAATAACAAGGTCTGCCATGACCAAATGGTTACCTTGGACAAGTTGCTGAAGTTCTTTGGACCTCAAGTTTCCCCATATTTAAAATGGGCGTAGGGGCTTGGTGTCTGTAGCTCAGTGGTTAGGACACCAGCCATGTACACCAGGACTGGTGTGTTCAAAACTGGTCTGGGCCTGCTAAACAAACAAACAACAACAACAACAACAAAAATATAGCTGGACATTGTGGTGGGCACCTGTAGTCCCAGCTACTAGGGAGGCTGAGGCAAGAGAATGTCTTGAGCCCAAGAGTTTGAGGTTGCTGTGAGCTATGATGCCACAGTACTCTACAGAGGGCAACAAAATGAGACTCTGCCTCAAAAATAAATAAATAAATAATAAATAAATAAATAAAAATAAAATGGGGGTAGGCCAGGTGTGGTGGCTCATGCCTGTAATCCTAGCACTCTGGGAGGCTGAGTCAAGTCGATTGCCTGAGCTCACAGGTTCAAGACCAGCTTGAGCAAATTTGAGACCCTGTCTCTAAAAAAAAAAATAGCCAGGCATTGTGGTGGGCTCCTGTGGACCCAGCTAATGGGGAGGCTGAGACAAGGGAATCACTTGAGCCTAAGAGTTTGAGGTTACTATGAGCAATAAAATCATGGCACTCAATCCCAGGGTAACTGAGACTGACTGTCTCAAAAAATAAAATAAAATGGGGGTAATATTCATACCTGCCTCCTAGCCTTCTTCAAAAGGTCCAGAGAGAGAGAGAGTGCGTACAATACATGCATCTGTTACATATGTCGGGCCCATTAGAAGCACTCCACAGCTATTGATGTCATTGTATATTTTTGAACTGGTGTCCTAGGCACTACAGGCTTGTATCCTGGGCTGGGACCTGAATGGCCTGGAATGTAGAAGGATTTGTAGTTTGACTATCATCTCCCCTCAGGGCACTGAGGTTTTCCCCCTCCTTGGTTCTGTCCTACGTGACCCCGAGGTCTTCGAGCAGCCAGAGGAGTTCAACCCGGGCCGTTTCTTGGATGTGGATGGACGGTTCAAGAAGCATGAGGCATTCCTGCCCTTCTCCTTAGGTATCTGCTGGGACCTGGCTGTCTGGGGCATCTGTGCCAGCTGGGGGCACCCTCCTGGCAGCTGGGTCCCTCTCGTTCCCCTTGCCTATCATTCCTTCTTTGGGCCTGGGTGAAGAGGGCTGGCTCAGCCCTGTCTCCTTCTCCTCACCAGGGAAGCGCGTCTGCCTAGGGGAGGGCCTGGCTCGAGCAGAGATCTTCCTCCTCTTCACTACCATCCTGCAGGCCTTCTCCCTGGAGAGCCCATGCCTGCCAGGCACCCTGAGCCTCCAACCAGCTGTCAGTGGCCTTTTCAATGTTCCCCCAGCCTTCCAGCTACAGGTGCAGCCTGCTGACCTCCACCCCACCATGCAGACCAGATGAAGAAGGGAGGCTTAGAGGTGATGACTGCCTGTAAGGGTTGCTCCAGCCTCAACTGGGCATGGACAGAGTTGTGTCTCCAGAGCCACACAAGGCTACACCATAGGCAGCCACATTCACACTGCCATAGCTGTTTTCTCAAGTCTGCCCCACAGATACACAGCCCACGTGCTCACCCGGCCCACGTTGCTGTCAAAGCGTGCGACCACACACAACTATGAAGGCCACTAGGCAGCTGATGTAAGCTTGCTGCATCTGGAATCACAAGCATATCCCCAGGTAACCCACCAACTCGTACACCACACAATTTTCCTGGACTCAGTCCACACCTGGGAGCGCAGCTGCCGCCCTTATACACCATAGAATCAGCCACCGTGTTCACAGCTCACATAGACTCTTCGTTCATCGAGTGTATAAATGCCACCATCACCAAGTACCTGGCACAGAGAATAGCACATCCTGTCCTGTGGCTCTACCACTCTCCAAGCACATGACCACCCGTGTCCACGTGCCCCCAGGCACAGGTTCATACAAGCCAGTTCACATATGACACCGTCCTGGCTCCCCCTGAGTTTCTTCCCACTGAGGCACCACTCTTGCAGAGTCCTGGCCACCTCCACATCTTCAGCCCCCAAAGTTGCCCCTTTCCAGGCAATCTGATCTACGGATTCTCCCAGATATAAATCCCAGTCTGTAGTTGTGCTCACAGACCTTGAACACATGAGGACCCTGAAACCAGAGGAATACCCACCCCACACCAAGCCCCTGTTTATGTAACCATGTCAAAAGCAGCCTGCTGGTGCATACACACACACACACACATCTTCACTCATTGACCCATGCCCCCTTCTGAGCATCAAAGTCCCTGTTAGACCCAGTAGAGGGGCCTAAAAGAGCAAGTTGGGGCCAGGTTCCAAGTCCTAGTGTCAGGGAAGAAGCCAGATGTGAAGTCCTTCTGACTTAAGGTCTCCGTTTTTTTGCAATAAAAGTTTGTTTCTGGCCCTTGGCCTAGCGTGTGTGTGACTGTCAGTCACTGTGAGTAAGGGTGGGGATAGAGGGGCCCACCCCTCCCCTGAGGCTGGGCGGGAGCTGAAAAACATGGCCTCGCCCACCCTGGCTGTTGACATCAGTACCAGATGTGGAGCTAGGGGGAGGGGAGGGCTAGGCTGGGGCTGGCCTGGGTCTTTCGGAGAGGGCCAAGGTGTCTGGCAGGAGTGGACAAGGAGAGGGTAACCCAAGCCTGACCTGCAGGCTGGGGAAAGCTGTAGCCGACCCGATCCAGAGGACAAGACTCTAAATCTGAAAGCACATACTTAAACTCAGGCACCAGGGGACTACACAGACCCAGACTCCACTCCTGCCTTTTCCTCCACCCTTTTTCTCCTGCCTTTCCTTCACGAGGAAACCAGAGGCATCTTTTTTATTTCTTAATTATCTAGTAAGGAAGGCTTCAAACATATACAAAAGTAGGATAAGATGAATGATAAACCTAACTTCATTCAAAAATCAACTTCCCATTGCTTTTGGTTTGCCTATCACTTTTTATAAAGATTATTTTAAGGCAAATCCTAGAAATAACTCAATGTGCATTTCTTTTTTTTTTTTTTTTTTTTTTTTTTTGAGGCGCAGTCTCACCTTATTGCCCTGGGTACAGTGCTGTGGCATCATAGCTCAGCAGCCTCAAACCCCGGGCTCAAGCCATCCACTTAACCTCAGCCTAAGTAGCTGAGACTACAGGCACCTGCCACAACACCGACTAGTTTTTCTGTTTTCAGTAAAAGCAGGGTCTTACCCTGGCTCAGGCTGGTCCGGAACTCCTAAACTCAAGCAATCCACCCACCTCAGCCTCCAGAGTGACAGGATTACAGGCGTTAGCCACCACCACCAGTCTTATGGCAGTTTTCAAACATATGGCAAAGTTGGGATTGTACAGGAAACACCTATGTGCCAGCTCCTGCGTTCTCCTGCCTGCATTGTGTCACACTGCCTTATAACTTGGCTGCCCACCCGGCCACCAGCTTGATATTATTGTAGGCATCTCCAAGTAAACTGCAGACATCAGTTCATCTTATAAAAACTTTAGCAATGCATATATCATTAGCTAAAGTTTTTTTTTTTTTTTTGAGATAGTCTCATTTTGTCGCCCTTGGTAGAGTGCTGTGCCATCACAGCTCACAGCAACCTCAAACTCTTGGGCTTAAGCAATTCTCTTACCTCAGCCTCCCAAGTAGCTGGGACTATAGGCTCCCGCCACAACGCCCAGATATTTTTTTGTTGCCATTGTCATTGTTGTTTAGCAGGCCCGGGCCAGGTTCGAACCTGTGACCTTCAGTGTATGTGGCTGTCACCATAACCACTGTGCTACAGGTGTTGAGCCTAAAGTTTCCTTTTCAAAAAAATTTTCCACAATGGTGTTACTTTATCAGCGTAAGTTCTATACACGTTTAGAGGTACCGGAAAACAGGGATGTAAGAGAATGGAAGGCGGTGCCTGTGGCTCAGTGGGTAGGGTGCCAGCCCATATACCAAGGGTGGCGGGTTCAAACCCAGCCCCAGCCAGCTAAAACAGTGGCTACTGCGACAAAAAATAGCCAGGCGTTATGGCGGGTGCCTGTAGTCCCAGCTACTCGGCTGAGAATTGCTTAAACCCAAGAGTATGAGGTTGCTATGAGCTGTGAAGTCACAGCACTCTACCAAGGGCGAACTCTGTCTCAAAAAAAAAGAAAAAAAAGAGAGAGAGAATGAAAAGACAAGATTGGAATTAGAGCCTGACTGTGCCACTCCCTAGCTGACCACACCCTGACCAGAGATTTACCATCTTTTCTTTCCTTTCCTTTTCTTTTCTTTCAACATAGAGACTCACTCTGTTGCCCTGGGTAGAGTACTGTGGGGTCACAGCTTGCAGCAAACTCAAACTATTGGGTTCAGGGATCCACTTGCCTCAGCCTCCCAAGTACCTGGGACGACAAGCCTTTGCCACCACACTCGGCTAATTGTTAGTTTGTTTATTCCTTTGTTGTTTGTTTGTTTGTTTGAGACAAAGTCTCACTTTGTTGCCTCTGGTAGAGTGCCCTGGCATCATACCTCAGAGCAACCACAGACTCTTGGGCTCAAGGGATCCTCTTGCCTCAGCCTCCCGGGTAGCTGGGACTACAGGCGCCTGCCACAACGCCCGCTATTTTTTTGTTGCACTTGTCATTGTTGTTTTGGCTAGCCCAGGCCAGGTTTGAACCCACTGCCCTCGGTGTATGTGGCCAGCGCCCTGCAGTCTGAGCTACAGGCGCCGCCAAGTAATGAGGTTTAGACTCGGCGCCCGTAGCTCAGTGAGTAGAGTGCCAGTCACATATGCCAAGGCTGGAGAGTTCAAGCTTGGCCCGGGCCTGCTAAACAACAATAATAAAAAATAGTTGGATGTTGTGGCAGGTGCCTGTAGTCCCAGCTACTTGGGAGGTTGAGGCAAGAGAATAGCTTAAGCCCAGGAGTTTGAGGTTGCTGTGAGCTGTGATACTATGGCACTC